TGCTGCTGCTGCTACTACTACTACTACTACTACTATTACTACTACAAACAAGAATATGAAATGAAATAAAAAGAAAGACTTTGATTAGTGTTTTTAAAAAAGTATTTTAAGATACATCACTTTCAAAATGGAGATAGAATTCAAGCAGTCGCAGGAAATGTGTTTAAAACGTTTTACAAAAGCTCTTGGAACTTACCCAATCTGGCCGCAATGATACCAGCCATAAGCACAATGACGGACACTAGAGAATTCTCAACATCCGGACACGCGATATTTTCAGGAATAGAGGTATTCAGGATTGGCGGCAAGATGGTCGATGCATTCACGTCCACAGCGGGTATCGTGGCCGCTGAAAATCGAAGGTAGACATAGAAAGACGAATTATTTTTAAGTTGTACATGTACTAATAGATCTATCTATTTCTTTATAGTGCGGTCAAAAATTCGCTACGCAACTTATCCTCAAATATCTCTTTAACAGGTGACTCGAATGTCACCCATACTTTGCAAATCAGTTTGTATCAATTTAACTTAATCACTTTTTCCCACAATAAATGAGTCTGGATTTAAAAAATGTCTTCATAAATGTATATAAAATATTTTGAATCTCCATCACGAGAAAAATGGGATTGTTCGCGGTAAGTAGATATCTACTTCCCGCTTCCCGCACACTTTTTTGCATATATATGCATATGGCCTACGTCACAGCTCACCAATGACACTTTTTAGTGGCAAAACTTCTTACAAGAAATTAATTTTATAGCAAACACATTTTTTTGCTCTAGATTCTAAAGGTTCCCTAAACATACGTTCAATAAGCATACTGTTGCGATTAGCAACAAAATGACAGATAATTTTCATTTAAAAGCAATATTGCCCGAGCTGTAAACTTTTAAAAAAATTGTAGAAAGCATCAACTGAGTTTTTTTATTCGTATTTATTCAGGAATTTTCCAGAATACAGAGTGCAGGAGTTTGAAAAAATATTCACCTGTTCAAACAAACTGATATAGATCTACGCCGTTGTGCAAACGTTGGATAATCTGTTTTTGATAGTCAAGGAGATATTTGACAATAAGTTGTGCCATGCATGTTTGACCGCACTATTATAGTGTATGCTTTGATCTAAATTGTGTTGATAGGGGCGTAAAAACGCTTAATTAAAAAAAAAAGAAGAAATTGTTTGATCTATCGGTGTCTTGATTTTTTTTTACTCTCAAGAGATATGTGCTTGGTTTTCTTACTCCTAGTAGATGCATCATTATTAGATCTAGAGCCTATAACTTCTTCAGTTTTACTTTGATCCTTCACTCCCCATACCCATCTTTTGCATAATTACCCCTCGTTCAGATTGTTCTCTTTACAGGCCCACCCCTTCAACTCGCCGCGCCTTCAGCTTTTCTTAGTTCTCGCTCTCCATCTCCTGCTTCTTTTCATCTTTTCTTGTAAAAGTGGTGTCACTATTGTATACTCTCTATTTTTCCCCCACAGCGATCTCATAGTGGTATTGCCAGTAACTTCAAACTAAGACAGCAAAGACCTAGCTAAAAAGAAAAGCATGTCATCAAGAGTAAAATTACTACTACTACTACTACTACTACTACTACTACTACTACTACTACTACTACTA